TTAACTGTCTTGATATTTACTTTGAAAGCTGAAGCTCGCGATTATGGTAAGGGGCGTTACATTTCCGACGCGTGCTTGTGGTGTTCAGCCAATCAAAATGCACTGGGTCAGCTGGCCAATCAGAGCAGACTGCGCTTGTCAAAGGAGGGGGCTTTGTTGAAAACGACGTGTTTGAGAGAGGCGGGGCATAGAGGACCTACAATAATGTACAGTATTTGAAAAATTATTTGTTTTTTGAACATTAAAGCATGTCAACATATTCTGTTACACCAAATAATGATCTTTAAAATAGCATCATATGACCCCTTTAAAAATGCTACTTTGTAAGGTTAGTAAAACATAAATCATCATCTTATTTACCGTTTATCCAACTGACATCATGTAGTATGCAATTTCTGCACCACAGCAGAGACTCCACATCATGAAATAATGACTGTTTCCAAACAGGTTTCCCACTGTTTGCCATTGGCTGAGTAAACAGATGAGCTCACACCATTGGTTGAGCAAGTGTTGCTGTGTCTGGATGGTAAAGCAAACAGAGCAATGTTTTGACAGACACAGAGTCACAGCGTTCTGACAGTCTTCTGACACATCTGACAACTTGATACCCCTGTTTCTCAAGTCTAAAACACTCCATGTAAAATACTCCATGTTGGCAGCTTCTTGCATTATTTTTATCTAATTGATCTGGGAAAACTCATAAATGCGGGGGAACAAAAAATTATGTTTGATGGTCAGTTTTCATATGTAAAAATGCATGAGATCTCAAAGAAAACATTTTTCAGTTTTCTCTGGCCAAGAAATGTCAGACTAATGTAACCAATGAATCACAGTGTGCTTTTATTTTTATGAGCAGGTTTATTTGCAATAGCTGATTACCAAAGCAATAGACATAACTCAAAATATTCAGTGTCTTTCAAATATTCATTGTTTCTAACCTGGGAAAATGTGGCTAATTCATTAATTCTTACTCTAAAGTGTTCATTTTTAGCAACCCGGTAGCTTGCAAACCCTTAGTGTCAAAGCAAGCTGGTAAAAAGGGCTTGTTTTTCTGTCAGACTCATCTAAAAAATATCTGAGGACCATAATGGATGTTTGAAGCTAATAACAGTGGAAGCTTCCAGAAACTGCAGATGAAACTTTGTGGAATTTCTCACAATTTTGCCACATTAAGTCTGAAAAAGATAAACCATCACAGCCTCTCCAAGGAAACATCTGCTGTTTTCAAGAAATCCCTCTGTCACGTGATCACTGTCATTCACAGTCTGCTGTGTGATATGACGTCTATGAAATAATAATAACGTGCAATAATGTTCTCTAGCATCTACCGCGTGAGCAATCGAATGCCCCCCGTCTTGCCATAACCTGCCTCTCTGTAGCCGTACGCTGTGGCAGATTGATTCCATCACGCACTGATTAAAATTGATCTGCTAGTTGTTTTTTTACAGCCAGACTTGGCATCTGCTTCGCTCCGACTGTCTCGGCGAGTGGCACGTACAATATTGCTTCACAAATGGCCACGGTTCTGACACAGATCGATGTAAATATTGTATCGCTGTTTGCTACAAGGAAAACTTGGAGTGCCCCTGCTTTTGATGGAAATATTTATTGGGTGTTTGTGGCTCAGTGCTCAAGCAGAGAGTGTGTTTTTTTTTGTTTCTCCACAGTGTGTCACTGAGCTAAAGCCAAAACCCGAGCTGATACTCATCAGATTTGGCTCAAAGTAAAAGATGTGATGAAAACCCTTGAGAGAGGCTGTGCGTGGTCTGCCAAACACAGACACGCTGACTACAATTGCACATGTTTTGTTTTTGCCTGTCCTCCAGAACCATCTGTATGATTGCTTTCTACTGTTTTTAGGATGGCACCGTTTCAAATGAGGACAACAGAGTGGTTTGAAATGCATTAAAAGCTTGTCTGGCTGAATCATATTTTGCATAAAGAAAATGTTGCCTAATTTTAGGTCCATTAACATAATTTGCATTGTGACGTTTATTTTCAAGACAGTTAAGAGCATTTTACACCCTAATGTTCATTACCATAATGAATCTGGATGTTTTTTGTAGCTCCCTTATTTTTCAGTGGTGATTCTCATTAGCTTTTTTTTGTTGTTGTTATAGTTAGGTTTTGACAATATATGCTAATATATTATTTACATGCTTATATAAAGTAATACTTTTTTATATATTGTTATTTAGTATGTTTTATATTTACTAAATGTTTACTTAACATTGTAATGTTTTGATATTTTATATATTCAATATCAATTTAATTTAATATTTACATTTTTTATATTTTATATTTTTAATAATCAAAAATCAAAGGCAATACAACAAATACTACCTTAGTGTATGAACAAATAAGAATTATGTGTTTTTTGTTTGTTTTTTGCATGAAAGAGATTTTGGTTACACTTTATTTGAAGGTGTTCTTGTTACAGTGTAATTATACATATACTGTAAGTGCTGAGTAATATTAATTAGCTACATGTACTTACTATAGGGTTAGGGTCAGGGGCGCCGCTAAGGGGGGGAAAGTTAGGACGATTCTAAGGGCCCACGCACTTTTGGGGCCCCCAGAGATCTGTTTTATTAGTAGTAACAGTAGTAGTAGTAATGTAATAGAAATTATAAATGTATCTACCAAAGAGTTACAAATAAAACAAAATTTCGGCTTATTTCTGTATTTCCAGCAAAATTTTCTCCCCCATTCAGTGCATGGTTTCGTCCCGTCCTACGTAGCCTAGAAAGTCACGAGTGACATTAGATGGTAAACTGTCAAATTAATTAGAGATGTCTTCGAGTTCGAGGGGGGGCAAACCAAGCCGGACGATTTGGTCAGTTGTACTTTTAAACACATTTTAGTTTTGCTATAGAAAATCTACAAATTCACACTCACATTCACATAGAGCAGCAGCAAGTGCATGAGGTTGTCATGGCAACCACATATATTGCAGGTGAATTAAGGCTGCGCTTCTATTTTGCCATATTAAACTTGGCAATAAACACATTGAAAATGCACAATAAACATGTCTGTCAAGATGATGGGCTCTGATTGGTTAGCTAGCCCAGTGTGTTGTGATTGGCTAAACCGCCTCCAGTGCGCGTTTAATCGTCCCGCCCCTCACCTCAGCGGCATGTGCTCCGGATGTATTGTAAACAGGGCGTCGTTAATAAAAATATAATAATTATCAGTTTGAGCCCGATTGAGAAGCAGAGGATATTATTGAAGAGGATCGTGTAGAACCTGTGCAAGCACTGCTTTTAATGGTAGGCCTGTTTTTTGTTGTTGTTGTCTCATACTTTTAGATACGCTGTTATTTGTAAATGCTACTGCTTATGTTAGCTTTTAATATACAGTTTTATACTGATGAAAGCTTTAATACAGTACGGCAACTGCACATACTTTATGTTTAATTCTTCTCGTAGCTATGTGATATTCTAACACAACAATGCCTCTGTGTATAAGGCAAGGTTAAAAAAAAAAAAGATTGATTGAGTCAGTGTGGAAGAACTTGACTGGTCTGCAGAAAGCCAAGTCCTAATCCCAGCTGAACACCTCTGGTGTGACTTTAAATGCAGACCTTGAGCCAAAAACTCATCACCAAACACCTGTGATTTGTACATACATATGGACAAATGTATTGGGACACCCCCTTCTTTAGAACAGAAAAAGGCACTTCCAAAACTGTGGCATCAAAGATGGAAACATAATTCATGTATTTAAAAATTGTATTTCCATCTTTTTTGCCGCAGTTTTGGAAGTGTCTAAAATGATTGTACGCATATGTACAAGTCATTGGTGTTTGGCGATGAGTTTTTTTTTGTTTTACTGAGTTTTCCCAATACTTCGGGCAATATAGTGTATGTTTGGTGCGGTAGGGGGCCCAACCTCATATTCTTTCATAGGGCCCAAAATTGCTAGCGGCGCCCCTGGTTAGGGTTAGGATGAGGGTTTGGTTTAGGGTTAGTTGCATGTAATTATGCATAATTTATTGTTATTATAATAGAAAGTACATGTAAACGTGTAACAAGGACACCTTAAAATAAAGTGTTGCCGAGATTTTATTGCATAGTATTATTGCAAGAATTATGAGAGAAAAATGTACCTAATTGTGATGCAAGTAATGCATGCAAAAAATCTAAAAAGTCTTAAAAATAGGCTTGATTGTCTTGCCTTCTTGCTTCTTTTGATATTTGAGATGAATTATGACCCAGACATGTGCTTGACAGGTTACATCAGCCTCACCTTTCTGCTGTACTGTATGTAACCTACATCTGAGATCAAATGAAACTACACCAGATGTTACTATTACATAAAATATGAATTTGTAAGTTGATGTTGGTCAAGACCCCCTACAACTCTGTATTTATTTTTTAAATACTGTTTAACAAACAGAAATTTTTCTGCATTCATTTTCATCAGCCCATACTTTAAATGCATCAGCGTATAGGTTTTGCAGAGTGTACAATAAAAATAATCATGCAAATGGTGCTTAATAAATTTGAAACACGTTGTAAACCCACAAATGTTTTGTGCTTCAGGTACCGAGGTGGAGAAAGAGATGTGTGTGGATGAGGTCTACCCTTCATCTGTGCCCTGTTTGATTCCCTGCCCTAAAGACTGCGCTCTCAGCCTCTGGACCGAATGGTCCACCTGCTCCCAGACCTGCTCCAGCAAAACCGCCGAGGGCAAGCAGATGAGAACCCGAGCCATACTGGCTTACAATGCAGGAGAAGGTACAGAAGATTAAACTCAGAAAGCTAAACACATCGCTAAACTCACACAATACTAAAAAAAATGTAAAAAGACACATTTTAGGTAAAAATAAAATACAATTATAATATATATGGTAGCAGTGGCACTTTAGAATAGGGAACACTATTCACTATTAACTAGTTACTTATTAGCGTGCATATTAGCGTTTTAGCTGTTTAATCGTCCTTATAAAGCACACATTAATGCATGACCATATTCTAGATCCCTTAACCCGACCCAACACCTATACATAACTACTACAACTACCTTATAAGCAGTGTTCCCTAATCTTATATGTTACCATATTTATTAGTCGTGAGTAAAGCTCTAGTATCATTTATTTGCACATGCCATATTTTGCATCTAATACAATGACCTTCATACATTTCTAATTACTTTTTGGGGCTTCTCTAACAAGCTGACATGCAAAAACCTTGCAATTTTCTGTGGTCTGTAGTGCATAAGATTAGCCTAAAAAAGCTGACAGGAAACCATCAAGGAAAGACTGTTGTTCCACAAGGGTGGAATTTTTCAACCTAAAACTTCTGAGATTCTGATGGATGACTCCTGAGCTGTGACATTACCGACAGTCAGTGTTCCGAGACTCTTAAATCCACTTTATCTGTTCCAGTGTCAGTTTACATGAGTGGGGCTACAGAGCGTTCCAGTCCAAGTGAAACACAGTTCACAAACAACTTTACTTCTGGAATCAGATGTAATTCAGAATAAAATTCAACAAATGTGATTATTATCCATCAGGAATTAAAAGACTTGTTTAAAGTAGGTCTTACAGGCCAGAAGGGAAGGGGTAAAATATAAGGGTCTGAATAAAATTCTGTCATCATTAAAGGTATGGAAAAATTATGCATTTGATTTTACGTTTTAACCATGAAGCATAAAATAATTGTCAGAAGAAATCTTCTTTAGTTAGTTAGTTGGTTAGTTTGTTAGCTTGTTAGTATGTTTACTGAACCATTAGAGAATTTTTTTTTATATATATATATATATATATATATATATATATAAAGTTTGGTTTTATGTTTGAGTATCATATTTGATACATCAGGCTTTTATGGCCCATAGAGTATGATATAGGAAAATATTGAATTCATATTCAAGGAAGAAAAAATAAAACAGCTCAGTTTTATTCAGAGGCCCAAACTAAGCAAAAATATGCAATTTGGTGCTGTTGCTGATATTTATTTGGCCAAAGGTATGATGAAATTCTGATAGCTTGCAGTGTAAATCAATAAGATTTATAACAGTATAGCAGACTACTGACACATAATGCATATAAATATTAGCTTTCACTCTGTCTCCCAATAATATGTTTTAGTAAGATATGTTTTAGGAAGATATTTAAATGCTTAGTTTTATGATTAAAGCTCTATATTTTGTATTGTGAGGGGCAAAACATATAATGCAATTCAATACAGTGATGATTGAGCGACGACAAATAAACGTTCCCCAAAAGCTTGATGGATTATATTTGATACTCACATTTTAACACAGTTTTTCTACAAAATGATATATGGATAATCAAGTAAGCCTTCAGTTCAGTAAGTTTTCATCTTGAAATAGTAATTACAATATAAAAGTTATTCTTACGTTTACTTTGTAACGATGGGGTTTTTTTTTTCAATGACATTTTTACAATTATTCTAAAAAGATACTTTACTTGTTAAGAAAGTATGAACTATCAATCCAACAACAAAAGGCATGTAGTAGATTGTGTGCAACAGGTTAAAGTTTTGATAATGTTTATAATTTAGAGGTTTTAGAAATGTGTGTATTAAATATGATAAAGTTATTTTATTATTATTATTTGTCATTTGTGTATCATATACTCCTCAGAGTAGTCTATATTGAATTATTGCTGTGCTTTCTCCACAGTGACGTCAATGGTAGTGGCATGGATTACAGTTATGGAGGGTAACACGTCAAAACATCTCATGTTTTTATGGCCTGTAGAGTAGTTTTCCTGTAGAAGTCCTCTTAGATTTGTTTGGCTGGTTTGAAGTAGCCGCTAAGTCTGGTCTTTTCTTACTGTTGATTATTTTATCATTTCTCAAATATGTAAAACTTAGTACTAGTCGAGTAGATCCTGAAATATTAATTCTCTTACCACTGCTTCTCTAAAGTTAAATGCGAAGACACTCATAACTTTTGCTTTATCTCAAGGTCTTACAAGGGTTCCGAAGTTTCCTGAGCTCTGTGGTACAGTTGCTTTCTTTTCATCTTTTGTGTGCAGTTTGTAGATTTAGATGTGCAATAAATAGCTTGTGTATAGGGTTAGAAAGTGCTAACGGAGGCTTTTATTCTTAGTCTTGTTTTCACAAGTTTAATGTTGCATCCGCAAAGAATATAAATGAAGAAAGTGAGATCTTTCGCTTGGATGCGTTTGCTTTAAGCACCATTTTCCACTAAAGTAACTGCGTTTTTGAGCGATGAGCTGAGCGTTGCCCTTTGGGAGGCGGATAGATTTATGTGACGATGAGTCTATGCACCATGCTTTCTGTGCAAGACATCTGCTTGATGTCTGACGTAAGATGCCAAATGCAGCCGTTTATGCAGCGGGACTTAATACATTATGCATGTCATTGAGAGTCCATTTGTGAACAAGTCAGCAGAATGATGAAACTCATACTGTAAACACGAAAAAATTATAGTCCTCTGGGTCTCTTATGAAACTGATATAGCACATTGCAAAAAGCCAGAAACATACTTGTACAGTAGTATGTGAACACAAACACTTCTTGCTATGCAAACATACAGTATAATCATATTATTGATAGAGCATTCAGAATGCAGTTCATAGTGCAGTGTATGCATTGCTTTCTCATGTTGTAGCATGCGTCACTATTGCAGACATCAGTGTAAAGTGTTTTCTTCTGTGGTTAGTTTTGTCTTTCAGGTCAAAAACTGTTATGGTGGAGCAATAGATTGATCTTAGGTTTGTTGAAGTTAATAAAAATCTATAATTATTATATATATAATAAATTCATGGTAATTACATTTTAAATAGAAACTTCTTTTTAAAGTTGATTATTTAATTTCTCGAAAACATTTAGAACTTGAGGTTTAGTAATAATTCGTTTTTAATTTATTTTTATTGTACAATTTTAGTGTTACAATTAATTATCAGCTTAATTATTGTCTACCGTATCGTCCACATTTTCTATATCGGTCAGTTTAATGTGCTTTTATTGCAGAAAACCTCTAAAAAATAATAATAATAAAATTTCAATTTTTATTCCTGGAAAAATTATGGAAACAAATAAAATATTAAAAGCCATCAAATTTTCTATAGTGAATATAAATGGTTTTTAGTTATTGTATATTGTTTCTGTATTGTCTTATTGGATATGTGTGTTCACTAATAAATATAATTACACAGATTTTATTTGTCCCTGTGTTTTAGACCATTATTCAACAAAACCCAAATAGTGATTTATTTCTGTTCTAAATTTTCTTTGCTGTTAGTATAAAAGTAGCACAATAATTCAGCATTTCCATATATGTTTGCATACTTGGCGTTTTGTATGTTTCTGGCTTAAAAGCTGATCATGAGGTTTAATTTAATGAAAAATCAATTCATTAAAGACACCCACAGAAATAAAACAGTGAATGTGCTTTCTGTGATTGCAGAACATCTTCTGAAAAGCTCAATGTCGAGATTCTGTGGAGGCGTTCGTTATGCTGCACAGTTAAGCTTCACAGTGTTCCTGTGGGAAGAAAGCACATACTCATTTAGGCTTTTCACACTTCGGTTTGTTCATTCTTAACCCTGAGTTTTTGTTCAGTGTTTTACACTCTTCATACTTTACCCTGGGTTAGTTATTAATTATAGTAGTCATTGAAGTTTCACACTGTACTTTTGTAAACCCTGGCTTGCTTGCTTATTTGCATATTTATGTCTTTAATAACATTGATTTAGGAGTTTACTTCAGACGCTGAACAGTTTTACTTACTGCGGCTATGCAGAGTGCATTAATATTTTATGAGCTAAGCACTGAGGTGGTTTATGATTGGTTGTCTGTTGCTAAACTGCATTGTTTCCATACTGTATATGGGACATTTTTCTTTTAATGTAATTCTTCTGTCCCCTGGAATATTTTTTTTTTTCTTTTACAGTAAATCCTTTTACTGCACTATAGCTTTAAAATATCGTTTACAGTAGCTTTAAAGTTTAGTTTGGCTCGAATGATTTTTTCCTGCTTTTGAAAGGTTAAATTCGCCAGAAAATCTCTAACCCTCACTTTCTCTTCGTCTCTTCGTCTCTATTTTTATACTTTTTCTGAAAGCATTTATGAGAAAAATATGCACTTGATTCATTTGTTTTTTTATTCATTTGATATATTGGCCTTTACCATCTTAGAAAACAAACATATTTTTCCAAAGATGTTTATACTTGTTTATACTATACAGTGGAGCTCAATAAGCTCATCTCTGTCATCAGTGTACATCATTTTAAGATTCTTTGTACCATGAAAATCACGAAGTCTGTCAGCAGCATTTTAAGATGTCATTACAAAACCACTTAGAGAATTTTAACAGAAACACTGTTTTTATCAATTGAAAATTTATTGACGGCTACGTGTTAGAAAGTTCAAAGCTTACCTGTAACTTTTTATCTACTGTAGTTTTTTTATTTATTAGTAATTTTATGTCTGTATAGTTCTTAGTCATTTTTATATCAGTTTTATGTTTCATCAGATTTGTTTTTATGGTTTTAGTTTTCATATGTGACCCTGGACCACAAAACCAGTCTTAAGTGTAAATATTTCGAAATTGAGATTCATACATCATCTGAAAGATAGGACAATATTTGGCTGAGATACAACTATTTCAAAATCTGGAATCTGGGGGTGCAAATAAATCAAAATATTGAGAAAATCGCCTTTAAAGTTGTCCAAATGAAGTCCTTAGCAATGCATATTACTAATCAAAAATGAAGTTTTGATATATTTACGGTAGGAAATTTGCTAAATATCTTCATGGAACATGATCTTTACTTAATATCCTAATGATTTTTGGCATAAAAGAAAAATCTATCATTTTGACCCATACAATGTATTTTTGACTATTGCTACAAATATACCCCAGCAACTTAAGACTGCTTTTGTGCTACAGGGTCACATATTAGTTTTACTTTATAATAATAACCCTGGAGACCACATTGTACTTGAAGGCTCATCAAAGCCATGATCAAATCTTTTTTCAGGACATGTGATAAATGTTTTAACAGGGTTAAAGAAGTTAGATTTTTCAAAGTCTCAAAAGTGCCTTGAACTGAAGAATACAATATGATACATACGATACGATACAAATTTATTGTCAGACAAGGTCTGAAATTTGTCTTGCGTTACAGCAGGTTCATTCACAATTACAAAACTTTATCACGTGGACAAGAGGCCGACAAAACTTTCACAATCACATTAAAAAATAAATTAAAAAATAAAAACATATACATATAATATATATATATATATATATATATATATACACATACATTTTCAATACTCTGGTACAGATTTAATTTTGTGTAACTTGTTCAGCTCTAGTACAGCTTGGTGTACAAAGGAATATTTTAACCTAATTCGATTATATCTTGGGACCTTATTCCGCCGGTTAGATGGCAACAGTACAAATTCATTATACAACACATGATTCGGTTCAGAGACAATATTATTGGCCAGGCTTACAAGATTTTAAAGTGTGAAAAGCCCTATTATTACCCTTCAACTCAATGCCCAATATAAACACAATAATCACCTGTTTAATGGATCTGACAGTCAGATCCAATAACTATACTGTGTGCATTATAAAGCTAAAGCAGGCAGACGTATTGATTCACTTCCACTCATAAAGCTCTTGCTGTCCTCTGAGAATGAGAGCGCTTTGATTCACAGGCCCACTGGGCTGCTCTGTCATCTGCAAACCTGTAAATGTCAGCAATTATTTAGACACACCGCGCCGCTCTCCGCCGGCTGCATCGACTATCTGCCACTCGTGAGGAATTAGGAGGCGGCAATTATGTGGAGTGTTTCATCTTAATCAATTTACAACAAGTTTAAGCAACTGGAGACGACGCCGTTATGTTGAGATTTGAGAAAATGAACACTTGACCTGTCTCGCTCCAGAGAATGCAAGCAAGAAAAAAAAAAACAAGGAAGAAAAGACGTTTTCATATGCATTTGCTACACAAAATAATTTTTAATTTCAATATATTTGTAAGTTTTCAATTGTTCTTTTTAACTTTTTATTCGACAAAAAATCTTTAAAAATGTACCACAGGTTCCAACAAAATATTAAGCAGCACAACAGTTTCCAACATAATAAATCAGCATATCAGAATGACTTCTGAAGGATCATGTGACACTGAAGACTGGAGTAATGATGCTGAAAATTCAGCTTTGCGTCACAGGAATACATTCTATTTTAAACTATATTAAAATAGAAAACTTTTATTTGAAACTTTAATAATATGCAGTTTTTTTTATCAAATAAATGCAACCTTGATGAGAATAAGAGACTTCTTAGAAAACTTTAAAAAATGTTACCGAAGCATAGTGAATTTCTGGTTGTTATTTATTATTTTCTTCTCCTGAGTTGATGTGCATCTTGAACACTTCCAGTGTGGAGATCCTCGAGCTGTGGTGGTGTGACATGAAGTGTAGACACGTGTCAGACCTAATACATGTCTTCACACTCTTGCAGGAGGTTCCAGCTGTCCGAACACCAACGCCCTGCAGGAGGTGCGGAACTGTAATGAGCATCCTTGCATCGTGTATCACTGGCAGACGGGCCCCTGGGGACAGTGCGTGGAGGACACCACCACATCCACCCTCAATACCTCCTCCAGCGCAGACAAGTCCACCTGCACCATGGGCGTGCAAACGCGCAAGGTCATCTGCGTAAAAGTCAACGTCGGACAGGTGCCGCCCAAAAAGTAAGTCTGCGTGTACATTTTAAAGGCCATTTTTATTTGTTTTCCCTACTCTGTATGTAAATTACTTCTTATGATTCAATCATTTTGCATGTGAAATGAGTAACAATATGGCTGGTTTTGGATTTGCTATTGGCTCCAATATAATTAGCATTGCATAATCCTTCAACAACTTCCTTTTCACAGAGGTGTTGTTAATTGATGTTGCAAGTTTCAGAACACTGGATAGCTGTTCATTTGTAAACATGGGCAAGTCATATGTTATTGTACGTATGGTTGAGAAGTTCCTTAATATGGCAGAGCATCTTTTTTTAGATTGTCAAAAGTACATAAGAAATAAAATGTTATATTACATAAAAAAAGAAGTCTACATAAAAAGTGAATGAAATTAGTAATTTTTATTTATTTAATTTATTTTGAAATGTGCCATTATTTTCATGACAATTTCCCATTACTGTAATGTGTCATGTATGAATGTATAAAAATTAGTATTTTTTCAGTTTTTCATTATTTATATGTACTGTATATTACTTTTTATACATATATTTACAGACTTCATTTTCTTTATTTAAAATAAAATGAATTATTTAAAATAAATATGTATATACATTTTAATAAATAAAAATATATATTTTTAAATATATTTTAATGTGTATTGTTATACCTCTTTCTTTATTTATTTATTTACTTTTTGTGTTATTAATTCAATTTTCATAGCTCTAATATACTATAAAATAATTACATTTCTTCATTTTCCTTTTTCTATTTAAATCTGATACATTTTTCAATCTTTTACAAAATTAAATCATTTTAAAGTAAAGGCAGTGCAAAACAACAATATTCAGTACCATAAAACTGTTCTGCGTCATTTTATTTTTCTGCATTACAGTAATGAGAATGCATTGTTTTTTTAGCATAATGACAATGTGATGCTTAATTCTCACGCAAAAAATGTAGGTCCTAAATTGGTCCTAAGATAGTCTTTATTCATCTTTTTACACAATATAATTTCTGCTTTGTACTTCTGGAAATATTCTGGACATATTCATGACATGAATGTAATCTTAATGTTTTGCCATTTCGTATTGCAATATTACCATCTGTTATTATGATGTAATCACATATGGCGCGAATCATACCTCAACTCAAGTGTCTCGGTTAGTGGTGATGGAGAATTGCTCAGAAGAAGATGGATTGCTTGTGTTTGAGTGGCAGATTGTAATTGCTCTACAGATGTCTGCGTGCTCACAAACCCTATCATTCCACTGCAGGCAAACGAGCTGCCGAAAGCCGAATAAACACCGAGTCACAAACAGGCTAATTAGCACAGTCATTTTCAGACTGCCTAATTTCCTATTGATGATAATAGCGGTAATTAAGAGGGTTTGATTCTTTAATGCAATTTAATCACCACTAGATGAGGGGCCTCTTGAGGTTTAGCACAAACAAACCCCCTAAAAATGCATCATTGATCCACTTAGACGTTGTCCTCCTGACAGTCCTTTGTGGAAACAATAGCAGTGGGTTTTTTGGCACAGACAAATAGAGGCCTTGCTATTATATTGCATTTTCCACTCGCTTTTTACCGCTTCAAGGAGCAGAAAGTTGTGTTTTAGTCTAGACGGCGTAGGTTGCAAAAATGCAATTTGATGAAGTGTCAAATTTTAGGACTGCAAAAAAAAAAAATAATAATTCAAACACTCAAGTCATTTTTCAATGTTCAGAATGGTGTAGAAAAAGTATTTTTACTGAGTTTTACTTCTGTTATGTATGGAAGCCCTTTTCCGCAACAGAATAAAAAAATAAAATAATGTAATTGTGACTGTTTATCTAATATAGTTCAGACTTTATTCACGTAATTCTAAGTTTGTATCTCACATTTTAGACTTTTTACTCGCAATATTCTCAAAAGTGCGAGATATAAACTCATAAACATAGAATTCGGACTTTTTTCCCCTCAGAATTCTGTTTACATTTTGCAATTCCCTTTTTTTTAAATTCTGGGTTTACAACTTGCAATTCTGTTGTTTTTTTTCCACAGAGTAAAAAATTGCTACATTTTATTTCACAATTCAGTTGTGTTTTAGTCTAGACGGCGTAGGTTGCAAAAATGCAATTTGATGAAGTGTCAAATTTTAGGACTGCAAAAAAAAAAAATAATAATTCAAACACTCAAGTCATTTTTCAATGTTCAGAATGGTGTAGAAAAAGTATTTTTACTGAGTTTTACTTCTGTTATGTATGGAAGCCCTTTTCCGCAACAGAATAAAAAAATAAAATAATGTAATTGTGACTGTTTATCTAATATAGTTCAGACTTTATTCACGTAATTCTAAGTTTGTATCTCACATTTTAGACTTTTTACTCGCAATATTCTCAAAAGTGCGAGATATAAACTCATAAACATAGAATTCGGACTTTTTTCCCCTCAGAATTCTGTTTACATTTTGCAATTCCCTTTTTTTTAAATTCTGGGTTTACAACTTGCAATTCTGTTGTTTTTTTTCCACAGAGTAAAAAATTGCTACATTTTATTTCACAATTCAGACTTTTTTATATTGCAACTGGAAGTTTATATCTTACAATTCAGACTTTTTCAGAATTACAAGTTTATACTTTACAATTCTGCCTTGATATCTTGCAATTCCATGTTTATATCTAAAAATTCTTAGTTTATATCTCACAATCCAGTTTTTTGTTGTCACCGTGAAATAACAGTCATTTTGAATTTCCTCACAATTCTTACTTTTTTCTTGCAATTCTGAGTTTGTATCTCACAATTCAGACTTCTTTTTACTCGCAATATTCTCAAAAGTGCGAGATATAAACTCATAAACATAGAATTCGGACTTTTTTCCCCTCAGAATTCTGTTTACATCTTGCAATTCCCTTTTTTTTTTAATTCTGGGTTTACAACTTGCAATTCTGTTGTTTTTTTTCCACAGAGTAAAACATTGCTACATTTTATTTCACAATTCAGACTTTTTTATATTGCAACTGGAAGTTTATATCTTACAATTCAGACTTTTTCAGAATTACAAGTTTATACTTTACAATTCTGCCTTGATATCTTGCAATTCCATGTTTATATCTAAAAATTCTTAGTTTATATCTCACAATCCAGTTTTTTGTTGTCACCGTGAAATAACAGTCATTTTGAATTTCCTCACAATTCTTACTTTTTTCTTGCAATTCTGAGTTTGTATCTCACAATTCAGACTTTTTTTCTCACAACTTTCTCAGAATTGCGAGATATAAATTTAGAATTTTATGACTATTTCCTTAGAATTCTGTGTTTCCGTCTCGCAATTCCATTTTTTTTTTTTAAGGGGGGGTGTCCTAATTCTGTGTTTACATCTCACAATTCCTTTTTTTTTTTAGGGGGGTGTCCTAATTCTGTGTTTACATCTCACAATTCCATTTTTTTTTTGAGGAGGGGTGTCCTTATTCTGTGTTTACATCTCACAATTCCATTTTTTTTTGTCATAATTCTGGGTTTATATCTCGTAATTCTGTTTTTCGTTTCCACCACAAAATAAAAAATAAAAAGGTAATTGCTACTTTTCATTTCACAATTCTGACTTTTTTTTATTGCAAAGTTTATATCTCAATTCAGACTGTTTTTTCAGAATTACAAGTTTATGTTTCACAATTCTGCCTTGATATCTTGCAATTCCATGTTTATATCTAACATTTTTTATCTCTTTTTTTTGTTGCCACCATGAGATAAAAAGGAAATAAAAAATAAAAAAATTCTCACAGTTCTTACTTTTTTCATGCAATTGTGAGTTTATATTTCACAGTGCTTCATTTATAACATGCAGCTTTTGTGACATATTTTGGAAATTGATTGGATTGTGAAAAATGGGCATTATACTGTATACTAGTATGTAGTCATGTTGTTGGAAGTGGGGTTGAAAAAGAGAGATTCAGAGGTGTAGTTTCTATATTTTGATGAATGATTACGATCACAATCATGTCTGTTCTATGGAATAGCATGTGGTATATTGCATATAAGATCAGAAATGTGTATACAAAACTAAAATGAAAATTTTGACTTCATTTGTATGCAGTCATCACCCCCAAAATATTGTATTGTTTACGTGGCTTCAGAGGCATTTGATGTGACCCAAAACAAAATCAAAATTCACATTCTCTCTCAGACCTGCATTTCATTTTGAATATCTCGTCTAGACCTGCTCGCAGTAAATCATAAATCATGTTTTTGCCCATGTCTGGGGCAGGCAGAGCTTATGCAGGTTTTCCTGCCCTGAGCCACTTTGTGTCACTCACAGCGTCAGACTGAGAGAAAACGCACAGACAGCGATGTTAAAGCTCAAAGCCCGGACCTTTGATGCGCCTCAGTAACTGACAACTGCTGCTGCCGTTCAGGTTTATCTCTCGCTCTGACAGCTTAGAGAAGCTAGTTGTTTTTTAGGATACTTGTATAGTGAGCAAAGAGCAGGAAACAAACGTCAAGAGCATGTGCACTGCCACTCTGTCACAACAGAGACAGTACAAGAATGAAGAGCGTTTGTAACACTTTTTCACACAAGATTTTTTTTAGCAGCAACAAGATGAGATGTTGCATTTTTATGAAATTGCATTTCATTAGTTTTTATTGTCAACTAAACCTAATTTTCAGTAATTGTAATAAAGGGAAAATAAAATAAAACATAAATATTAGATGAAAAACAAACAGAAAGGATAAGTTTTAGTTTGGCTAACTGAAATAAGCTTCTCTTGAGGAACTAAAACTGAAATAAAACTAAACTTAAACCAAATTCAAAAAATGAAAATGTTCGACAGTTAGACTTGATATTTTAACAGCAGCAAGACGAGATTTTGCATTTTTATGAAATTTATTTTTTTGGGATTATTTGCACTCATGCAGCTTTAAAATGTGTGAGTGTTTTTTATTGTTAACAAAAACTAATACTTAATTTTCAGTAATTGAAATAGAGCAGGAATAAAATATAAGTATTAGATGAAAAACAAATTATAAATGCTGCATTTGCTAACCAAAAGAAACTTATGTTGAAGAATTAAAACTGAAACTGAAATAAAAATAAATGAAAACTAAATAAAAAAAATAAAAAATAAATAAACATAACAAATTAATAAAAACCTAAACAAAATTTAAAACTGAAAGTATATAATGACTGAATTTCAGTTATATATAACTGAAATTTAGTTATTAGTATAAAAACTAAAGCTAATTCAGAATATAAAAATTTATGTTTATATATAATAATAATATTATGTAAATAACACTGGAATGAACATATGCATTAACTGGATCCACTTTAAAAGAAAAATGTCATTTAAGATGAAGACATTGATTCGTTGTTGAATATTATTGCTGATTTGATGTGGCAAACAGTTTTATTTCCCCATTTAAGAAGTACAGGAGCTGTACTTGCATGACGTGTTTCCAAGATAGTTCTGGTTGTTTTATTTGCTTATCAGGTCAAAAAAGTTGTACTTTAAAGGAATATCCTATTAGAAGTGATTAACAATGCGCAGACAGCGTTATAATAGTATTTCCAGAAACTCTAATGAGCTACTTCAGTAAAACCTTCAAGGAAATGTGATCCCTCACTTCACGCTGCTATTATGACAGTTAATCCTAATTGAAAAATAATGACAACTTAGAGAGGGCAACGGAATGATGCATTTGTTCTTCCTCTTGGTTAAACGTATGAGCTGTTTTTTTAATGGTGCTGTTGGAACATTACCACGCCTTATTCCTCTAATCCTTTCTGTTCACAACAATAACAAATGTAGTTTTAATTTTTAATGAGTCATTTCCTTATGTGATATTGCACTCTTAACCAGTTGTAGCAGGCTAGGCATTAAATAGTTGAGCAAGTGCCTGTCTTGAAATGTTGCTAATGCTCTGTCAGAAATTTACCCAATCTCCAGGAGAGCCCTGCACACCCAAACCGGATTTGTTTCTCTGGTAGGATTTACCGCTTCTGTTATTGGTATTATGAATGAATCAGCCTTACATATCTGTTGCTTTATTATATTGTGGCAGATTTGCAACCCTCATGAAACATGGAGCACATGGCGGCTAGCATCCCAGCACGCCGAAGCCCGGAGGATTTGATCAGAGATCAGATTACCCAATGTCCCTCTGCTGGACTGCTGCATCCCTGTTTATCTTTATCCCGGGGAATTCGACCGAGCCGGAGCGGTGCTTAAAATACAGGAGCAGATTAAAGCTAACCCCTGATCTTAAATTGAGGAGCTGTAAAACAGTGATAAAAGAAGAGTATTACCCAGTGACTGACTACTGTAACAGGATGTGAGGCCTTATCTGCCTCGTCTGGCTGGTACATAATGCAGCCGTGGAGCAGGGAAAATACGATTGGAAAAAAAAGAAGCATTGTTGTGATACAGATGCTGCTGAGCTTTGCTCTGCAAGGATTCTGATGCCATCCATTGTGGAGTTGGGCTGGGCAATAAAACTAAAACCAATAAAGCTGAAACTAGGATAGCTATAAAAATGCATCTTGAAATTTTCCAGTCTTTTGATTATATACATCTCAATATTTAGAGTATGCATGTGCTTTGAGTTGGCATAAAAGGAAAGTTCACCCCAAAATTAACACCATTAACAAGATATTTTAATAAAATGCCTGTTTCTTTATTTTATTTTTATACTACAGTATGAAAGTCAGGTTGGACCACCTCAACATATCTTAAAATATCTTCTTCTGCATTAAAAAGAAATATAATACAAGTTTGGAATGACATGAGGGTGAGTAAATGATTTTTGGGGGAACTATCACTTTAAATATGTATTTTTTAAAAATAATTTATTTATTTTACTTTTTTGTCTTAAAAGAAGTAAAATACTGTAAAAATTGGCAAACTGGCATATATTTGTTCTTGTTTTAATCATAAACTCCATTTTGAACAATTTCCCATAAATCAGACTTCATAACTTGTGTAATTTTGCTTCTCAAGTAAATCTTGATTTACAGTTTTTTTTTAATTGGTTTGGTACTATTTTCATAAGTAAGGTGTACATTTTCAAAACTTTAAACTGATCACACTTGTAGTCATTCTTTCAAAACCTGATCTCATGATTTCATTGTAGTTGCACATATATTCATTCCACATAATCATTGTTTCAGAACACAAGATCATTGTGATATGTATTGAGAACATTTGGTTTAATCACCAAAACACAACAGTAAGATCTTCTTTCAACTTAGTACTTTTTAACAATCAGTTCATTCAATAGCAAACAATGCAAGATACATGTTTCAAAACACTGAATATAATTACAGTAATGTTAGAAAATATTACATTAGCTTGAATAACACATAAAATCCATAAAGTATTTATACAGTGTGTCACTGTATCAAAAGGTGTGATGAAGGTGTGACATGGCCATAAGGTTTTGTGCTAGAACAGACATTACTGTCAGTGCATTATGACATATGACTAAATCTATACTGTAACTGAACTTTTCAGATGAAAGGTGAGTTATAGTAATGTGCAGTCTTTACCATGCAATGCCTCTATGTACAGTATCACATGGCATAAAATGCTGTATTTGATGACATCTGTCTCCCTTTTTCTGATACATCTTTGATCAATTTCTGATCAGTTTCTCTCCCTTATATCCTGCTGTATGTAACACAGTTTTACAAACGAGGAAGTCCTCAAAGGGAGGTTTTTGGTGATTTTGTCAAGTTTTCTAACTTCTGGGTACCAATTTGTCTCCAAAATATGGTTAGGTAGGCACACACACACACACACACACACACGTATTCCTATCATTATGGTGACATTCCATAGGAATAATGGGTTTTATGCTGTGCAAACTGTATATTCTATCCCCATACACTAACCCTTTGTGATTGTGTACATACTGCATACTTTGTGATTGTGTGCATTGTACTAAGACAATTGAAAATATGCTGAAATGTTTGAAAAAAGTGCACTTTTGATGATCTGTTGTGAAATTAGTAATAGTTTTGAAAATGTAACAGTTGCTTATGAAAATAGTACCAAAGCGAATAAAAGAAACTGTAAGAATCTCTAGACATTTGCATTGGAAAATAACACAAAAATGCTGATATAGAACGTCAGTTGTTTTTGCAGTGTGATCAGAAGAAAATAAATATTTCTATATTGTAGAGGTTGGGAGCAAAAATATCAAGCCAAATGTTTTGAGGAAACAGAAAACTATCGTGTTGCTAATAGAAGACATTTACCTTTTATTCTTTTACAGTTTCTTTACTTGGTCTTTAAAAGGTCTTAAATATTAATACACAAATAAATGCCATGTGGAGACTAAATCTGAGAGTTAATTTAACGCATTGAAGTGGAAAGTATTAATTGATTCATGAAAATGACTCAATTCTAATGCTGTTTTTCTAGTTTTCTGAGATGCAGCTAAATCTGAGAGTTAATTTAACGCATTGAAGTGGAAAGTATGAATTGATTCACGAAAATGACTCAATTCTAATGCTGTTTTTCTAGTTTTCTGAGATGCATTGTGCATTTCAGTGCTGATTTACAAAAAAAGTTGTTATTGAAAGATGGAGCAGTTAAAAAAGTATATTGGATGAACTATGTGTGCAACACAGCGCTGTTACTCATTTCATATGCAAAGATAGTGTTTCTCAAAAATCTTACGGGCGCAAGCACAGCAGTAATGGCCTGTTTCGTTTAAAGGGTCAGAGAGGAAGAGCAGAAAATGGTGTGAAAACCTTGACTAAAACAGTCAGTGCTACTCAGAGGAAAAAAGGAATTCTATAAAACATCCATTAGAAGAGCTTTTTTGGCCCGGTGTAAAGTAAAAGTGTGTGAATTGACGTGTGCTCAGGTGACCTGCAGTAGTTAAGTCTGATAATGAATCTCGTTTAGGTGATTGGGTCTTCAGTGAAAGTGTGACACAGGGCTTTCTTTATCCACCTGCTTCCTGTGATCAAAACGCATGTGCGTCAGATAGGTTTTCTTGTGTTGAGTGTCCTGCTGATCTTTCAGTGTCTGTGTGATGTTTCAGATGTCCTGAAGCCCCTCGGCCAGAGTCAGTGAGACCTTGTCTGCTGCCCTGCAAGAGAGACTGTATAGTCACACACTTCAGTAAATGGACAGAGTGCCCCACTTCCTGTGAAGCAGGTACACCACATCTGTCCATCTATCCATCCTTATATCTATTGTTTTTAAGGCTGCCCCCTAATAGTCGACTAACTGTTAGTCGACCAGAAGAGGCTTGGTCGACCAAATTTTTTTTAGTCGCTTAGTCGCAGGAAAAAAAAAATCCACAGGCGAACTTATGCAGTCCGTGACAGACAGATTGTTAATGGCTGGTCTTTGTGGTAATACAGTACATTGGGCAGGACATCCAAATGCTCGCTTATCATTCATCGATCTAAAATATGGCTTATCATCTGAAATATGTAAGTAGCAGCAACTTTACATGGCCGCTCAATCTAATGTTAACCTAGAGAAATGTGCGCTATTGAAGTGTCCATTCCATTGCTATCCATTGTTTGTCATTTTTTGATCCATCCATCCATCC